CTCAACTTCCCCCTTGCAGTGGGGGCAACAGCGGCAGCCGTAGCCTTCTATTTTTTTTTTTTTAACTGTATTATAATTAGGCACTTAGGAAAATGACTCTAAACAGTACAAAAGCCACAGAGTAACCGTGGGGATCAGCACAGTGCTCTGCGAGCCAGAAATTTAAGCGCAGCTCAGCATAAAAGCCAAGCTAGCTCCTGCAACACATGCTGCATCCAGTCAAACACCAAGACATGCTGGTGCAACCTGACAGAGATTTCAGTCACAACTAGAAGACTTTGCTGCTTGGCTCTGGGCAGCTGCTCCGTGCCAAAGGAAGCCCCTTCCGGCTGGGAGGAACCAGCGTGGGGGCACAGAAAACATGCAAAGCAGAGCGCAGGTATTTTGTGCAGACAAGGCTTGTCTGGTCCGTCTGCATTTGGAAACTGGACACGTTAGTTCCCAATTTTAAGCTGGCAGCTGAGGAAGCTGTGAGTGAGTTTTTGGAGCTCCAGGAGGACGAAAGCGCTGTTGCCACAGAGCTGGACGGAGCCCGTCTGTCGAGGCGCCTACAGCCTGGGCGCCCCGCTGCGCCGGTCACGGCTAATGAGGAGAAGGTGATTAACTCCCTTTTTTCTTTGCCAATTAAGTACTCACCTCCTCTGCTTCCTAGGAGGCAACAGGAGAATTATGCAGTGCTCTAAAAACTCGGGGGAGACGAACAGGCAAAAGAGAAACAGGTGGGTTAAGAACGTCAGCCCGTTCGTGAAAATACAAAGAGCAGAGGTGACAAAGCAAGGAACCACTGAAACCAGCCCCAAAAGATCTTAACTCAGCTTTGAAGGTCCCTGAGCTGGGGACAGCAATGGGCAGGGAAGCAACATCACACACTCCCACTACCCTTCTGCTCTGCCCCAGGCTCAAGTGAGACACTGGACTAGACGGGCCTTTTGGATAAGCCAGCTTGGTCATTCTTAAGCTCTTACATTGAGATTCTGGGCTTTCAGGATCTCTGATAATTTGCTTCTCTGTTTCTTTCTTTTTCTTGTGCTTTACAGTAACGTATCCCCAAAGGAGCAATTTCTGATCCTAATGTCAGGCAGCAAATCTGGAGGTCAATAATGTGATTAGAGTTAGCCGATTTTCAGTCATCGTGAGGAATATCTCCTACCCTCTGGTAAAAGAAACAGAGGGAAACAAGGTGCCCAAGTGACAAAGAAAGATAATATTCCTGGAATGAAGCATGAGCGTGCTCTAGGGGGGTCATGTGGCAAGATGAGGTTGTCTGAAAACGTGCAAGTAATGCTTTTGTATTTTGATACCTTTGGTAAATCTAAAGAAAACTGTGTCCATCTGAAGCAGAAGACCAGAACATCCAAGAGCACGGTACTTGCGAGGACAGACTCTGTCGTTGTGTCATCCAAACAACCACAAAGAGCTTTGGGGAATCTAAGTCTCCAACATGGAAGGCTTCCCCAGTCCTGGAGTATCACACCATCCAACCCATCCACTCCTCTCTGCCATCCCAAAGACTACAGATCAATCTTGGTTACCATAACTGACAGGAAAAGACTGTCATGAAAAGCAATAGGGTGTTTTTGTGTTGCAACAGCATCATCTCTGCACGCTAGGAAAGGATTAACTTTAAGAAACAAAGGGAAAGCAGGTCACCTCAGGTATGTTCCTCAGGAGAGCTTTCAACTCAGAAAGGTACTACCAGATGGTAAAAATGAATTTAGAAAGGAAAAACAACTAGGGAAATCTCCACTTTAAAAAAAAAAAAAAATCCGCAGCTGTGATGGAACAGTTTTCTGACTGTGGCAGGAGAAATGATCTGATAACCAACATAAATATCCATTCAGAGAAAGAGGCAATCCTGCTCATTAAAACCCAAGTAGCCTGCAAGTTCCTCTAGATGCCAGCCAAAAACACAGAGAGAAAAGCACTGCAGACGTCTTCATCGTTTCCTCAGAGGGTACAAAACACAACAGGAGAAGAAAGGGAGAAAATAGGAGACTTTCTAAAGTGCATGTCCCCTCTAACCCAGCAGTGCCTGGTGCATTATTTAATGCTAACTGAGAAAAAAAGGAATTGTTAGCAAAGTGTTAAAGTACTGTGGAGTTTTAACAAACCTTTCCTCAGCCCCTGCCAGCTCCCTGGCAGAAAAGACAACAGAGCGCTGGGCTTGCAGATTACATGCAGCAGCGCTCGTAGGGTACCTGTCTCTCTGCGTTTGCATCCAGCTGCCTCATGCAGCTTGAAGCGTGCACAAAGCACGGGGAGGAACTGATCAAAATACAGCTCGTATTTTAGGCGGCGATGGAACAACTGTACAAAGCAGCACCACCGTACACAATAGGAATTGAATTTTTTGGAGGGATTTGACAGACTACCGGCTCATAATACTGCTGCAGTCTCGGTGGAAATCTGGTTTGATGCAATTAGCAGCAACCACCTGAAAAATAGTAGAACAAAACTGGAAATACATATATAAAATATGAGCAACTGTGGATCTGATGCAAGCCTAGAAGTCCTGTTTGGAGCTCAGCAGAGGAATAAGACAAATTTGTAGGGTGAAGAAAACATAATTCTGAATTCCCATCTGCTATTTAAAAGTGAAGATCCAGATTCTGAACCAAGACATTTGCCTGCCCAGCAGAGACTGGTGCAGTTTGTTACACAGATGCAATGGAGGACAGCGTAAGGGCATTCCAGAGAGGGAGGCAGGAGGAGGCAAAACCTCTGCAGGGTTTGGGGAGATCCACAACTCTGCCTGCAGTTTCCTGGTGCTCTGAAAAAGCTGCAAGCAGATAAAGAGCATCAGAGTATAAGATGTAAAGCAATAAGATTAGCTATGTTGCCAAAATGCATTTCTCTGTTAAATGAGAGAAACTCATGGCATTAGAAACATCATCCGGCGGCCAAACAGACTAGGAGGCAAGCCATCAGTTAAGCTTTTTACAACAGTAATTTGAAATTCTTTTCCTACAGCACGCAGCGAATGCTGACAAGCTCGACACTTCCATAAGCCCTTTAGTGCATGTGCCCAACGTGGAATTGCTATAAAAATAAAGCAGAGCCCAAGCAACAAAGTTCCTCCTAAACAAAAATGGCAATGACATTTATAATAACCACAAGTGTGTGTATATATATATATGTATATATATATATATATTTTTTTTTCCTTCAGTAATGGTGATGGAGATCTGACAGCCTGAATACTGAGCAGGGACACAACACACCTTCTATACATCATGGTACAAAAATGGAATATAAGTACACACTGCAGCTTGGTGATGTTTAGCGGCTTTTGCGAGACACCTTACAGGAAGATTTACTTCCTGTAACGTAAGTGTCTACAGGAAGAAAGTCATTCTACTATATCTGGCTGAAACTTCGTGGCAAGCGGATCCCGTAATTATTTTTCAGATAATAACACTGAGCACTGAAAGAGGGGGTTAAGTCCTCCAAAAGAGGGTTAAGACTAGACTTTTTTTTTGTGGGATGTAGAGATTGAGATTCGAGGAATAAAAACCGGACTCCATGCAGCTAAGGATTAGAAAGTCCATTGCAATAAGACCACCGTAACATTGGCAGTGCTAGACCAGATTGCCACTGAGCAGTGCCATCCCCGGAGCACAGCAGACAGAGACGCCGTGTGCCAACAAGCGTTACAAAACCTGTCTCTCGACAAGCCTACGAAAAGAGAAAGGTCTTCTGAGCTAGTGACAGAGACACATTATCACCTACGGCTTGACTGGCAGCCCTGCTCCAGTGAACTGAAAGCACTTAAGCAAGCAGTCCTGCTGCCACCTGGCTTGGCGATGCTCTCGTTTCCTTGCGTTGGGTCATTGCTCTGTACTTCTTTCTCTGAACACCAACAAAAGCACACATTGTCATGGGAACAAACAGGTATTTTTAGTTGCTGCAAGGCTTCCGTCAGCTGTGTCAGGTAGGGTTTCAGAGAGACACTATAATTAGTCATCAGCGGGTTACCTGGATGGAGAGTTTGCCATTGATGTGTTGGGTAAAACACTTCTAAGTCTTCGGGATCAGCTTCATCTTCTGTTATTGGCTCTGTCCCGCTGTCATCTTTTATGTCGCTGTCTTCTATTTTCGTAAGGGCAAACTCCTTTTGGATAGAAGAGATTCAGCTCATTAGCAATTGTATCTGAGTAATTTAATGCCGGCCGAGAATACAAATTTTTTCCCTCGCCAGCAGATTTTTTTTTTCTCTTTTTTTGACATCCCAGATTCTTTCCACATGGTTAAATTTAGATTTAAAGAATATTAAAGGTTAAACATGCATAACTAGCATGACATTTGTGCTGAACAAAGCAATGCAGCTTATTTCCTATTCCAGGGCAGGCTGCAGTCTTTAAACAAGCTTTCGCAGAGCCTCACCTGTATCACACTCGGAGCCAGTAGCTCTGACTATTATTAGGCTGGCATAACATTGTTAGGCCGCATTTTCCCTTGCCTAAAAATACGCCAAACTTTAACTTTTTCAGCTGAAATTTTCCATACTGGTCTCTTCTGCCTCGAGTGATTTCTTCTTTTCTTTTCAGTATACTTATTTTAGGGTTTGGAGAGAATTTAAGCTAAAAGAGTTCAGCTATTTCCAAAATAGGACACAGGGGAAATGCATTGTTTTGCCCACATTATCAAGGTCTTGGCATCCTTTTCTTGGTGTGTTCTGGTGCCTTTAGAAACAACGAGGTAGCTCTAACGGCCACCCATGTCCTAACTGCTGTGTGCGAGTACCGAGGAGGCAGCAGAACAGGTAAAACTAACGGGTTGGCGGTAAAAACGGGGAAAACAAGGATGAGAGGCAGGAAAAATCCCTTGTGCCTTGAGAAGTCTCAGCGTTCACTACAGCGTCTCCCTGGGGAGCTGCCAGGAACTGCTGAAATCCACAGGGAATAAAATTATCGTGAGGTGTAAAAAGTAACAGTCTCGTCTTAGGAGACAAGCTGGGTGGGAAGCAGAAGGCTTTTCCTATTTTGGGTTCCACAGAAACAAATGAGCTGGTTCAGGCTAATAGCTCAGACAGTTCAGTTTCTGCTGTGGGGAGTATTACTGGTTTCTGATACTGCCAAAAAAAAGCCACCACTGGAGCATTTCAAATAACTAACCAACAGGGAAAGATTATTCCTAACAATGTTAATAAGGGCAATAGCCCAGAACACCAAGTGTTTCAATATTCGTCGTTAGCATATTTTCAGAGACCCCAAAAGCAGTCAATTAAGAGGTTAACTGAAAATTTTAGGCCACGTTCTGCCTTTGCATCTTCCAACAGCCTCACTGGAAAAAATGCATGCGTATTTACGGGCAGAATCTGGCTGCTTTGCATTTAAATCTCTGTTAGCCAGAAACACTCGGAAAGTGTTTCCGAACGAGCGAAATGTCAGCCCGAGCAGAACACGTACAATTAGGAACAATGCGGTAACGCATTAAGATGCTTGACAAAGCTCTAGAAAGCTTTTATTTTACATGTTAATAGGGAGCAACATTTCCAAAATACATTACAAAAAATGGAGCTTAACTCTTGTTTTTGCGCAGCGCATTAGAGGCTTGGAATTGCTAAAATCATGACAAATGGTTAAGGCTCAGCAACGCTCGTAAACATAAAAAGGCAGGTTCCATTGATAAAAAGCAATGTTAACATTTTGCAAGCCAAGACGCAACAGGACTAAAATAAATGAGTGAGAGCAGTTATTACTTAGCTTATTTGTGCTGTTATATTATTATCCGAGAGGGACTTAGTGATACAGTCCATTGTAAATTTACCCACACGCCTCCGAGTGTTACATCTGTTGAAACACCTAATGGAGACGGCTGATGTTTACAGCCGCTGCCCAAGAGAAGTGCCGGGTTCTAAACGTGCTGCAAAGGGCAATAGGATGTGACTTTGCTTCGTTTCAGTGTTGCTCCCACTGCTCGGCCCACGGTTGCTTCGGAATTCTCCCTGTTCCATCAGCAGACTTGGTACCGAGGCCCATTCCTCCCGCCGCAGAACCGGTAACGACACGCAAAGCGACAAACTGCACCATTAAGCAGAACCCTTTCTTTGCTTGGTTTGCATAATTAAAACAGTAGAAAGGAAGATGCTTCTATTCTTTTTTTTTTTTAGCAAAATAATGGAAATTTCCTTAAAGGCAAAAAAACCCCAGAAAACAACAACAAAAAAAAACCTCCTTGGTTTATTTTTCTGAAAGCAGCTGCAATAAATAGAACAGACTCAACAGCGGCGGTCTGAGACCCCCTGCAGTCTGTTCTCCAGTATGGGGAGGATTTGGCCACCACAAAGCCTGAAGGCCGGTGTGTGCAGGTGTGGATCTGAGAGCTGCCACCTTGCCCCTATCCCAGCCACTCGGGGAGGCTGCCGGACAGTTCAGCTGCACGTCCCGGGATGCTTCTCCTGGTGCCTGTTCCTGCCAGCTTGACCTGGCAAGGTTTTTCCTGCACCTGAGATGACTATGCTCCATTTCCAGCCCCACTCCATCATCAAATAAAAACAGATTATAACATCACTGTATGAATCCAGGTGGACCCTCAGCACTGCCCTGCCGATACTTTATTCAGTCTCTTATATTTGCTCAGCCTACGGTTCAGAAGGAAACCCTGGTTCTGCACGAGTGCAGAGGGCAGAGAGCGCCCACTCGTCTCAACCGCAGCTTGGGAACCACATTGCAAGGAGCAAAGCCCACGCACGTGGGACTTGAGGACCCACGAGGGTGCTTCAGGAGCACAGGTCTACGTGACTCACTCCTGGTGACTCAGCAGAGCGGCAGCAAGAAGCATAATCGAGGCCACCTCTCCTCCTCTTGCCAGTGGAGCACAGGAACTAGCTTTGCCTCCTGCCAAGGTGGAGCGCGCTCCTGCTCAGGATAGACAAGGTGACACCCAGGGAACAGGACAGCTGGACAGATTGCACTCTTCCCTTCACAAACCCTTTGGATGGGAGAGTTTCTGGATTTCCTAGGGTTAGGCTTAAGACACAGGCATTGCCAAAATGCTGTTCTTGAGAACCTGCTCTTGAAGAGCGCAGAGGGGATTCGCCACATGGTGTAACAGCCTTGGAGAAGGGTTGGGCAAAGCTGTCACCTCCGGCCAAGAGATGGGTGACAGGTTTAAGTGACTGAACTGCTGGAGCAACCTGCACTTACGGGAACTCTCTCACTTAAGCTCGGCCAGGAAAACACCGCAGAGACCAGCAGAACCAGCAGGTTGATTTTAGCAGCCGTGGAGAGGAGACCAGAGCAGTGAGACATTGCCATCAACCTGAAAGGCAAAGAAAAACAAGACCAACGACATATTAGCACAAATTTTCAGATTTCTGCATCCTTTAAGCTACATTCTTCAACACAGCACAAGTTTAGGGCTACAATACAGCAGGGCACAGAGTATTTGAGTGTTTGTCCACCAGTTTTATCAAAAGGGCATCAGATATTATGGGCTGATTTTATCACTAATGTTAATGATAGAAAGCAGCTTCCATAAAGGTGCTTAAATCTCTCCTGGAAAACACGTAGAGATCTGCAAGTCTTGTTTAAAATCACTGTGTTAGCAGCACGGACAACAGCTACAGGGAAAAAAATAAATTTCAGTTCCAATCCTGCCCAGGCTTTTATGCACATACTTAATTTTAAGCACAGAAGTAACCGAGCTGATTCAAATTAAAACCTTTTGATGCATCTGGAGGCTTAACTGCCCTCATGGCCCACGTGTAGCTGCGCTCACACACGCAGGGCGCGATGCTGACCCGCTCTGCAGGGCGATGCGCGCGCTAGGGCAGCGAGCCGGAGCGCAGAAGTGGCTCCTCTGATTGGCGCTAAATTTACACGCTGCTAAATTAAACTCAATGAAGTCCTTTGAAAGAAGATGGGACTGATTAGTTCCGTTCAAACCCTCCTCCATTACTCATCCCTCCATCAAGTCTGCTCCAGCTCCCATCCAGGTTTTAAAGCTTTTCCTCCCATGTATACACGGAGTCCTAAATATCTGCCTCCAGTGTCTGTTCGGATCACATCCCAGATTTCTTCCTTCCTTCTACTCCCACATGCAGGAAACATGCTTTAAGTGGAGCTGTCATGATACTCGCTGAAGAAAATCCATCCGTTTTTTTCGTTGGCCAAACTTCCCCTGCTGCCAGGAAGGATTTAGCCTGAATTACCGACTGCCAAAGCCTGGTTGCATGAAAACGCTGACGAAACCCTGGATCCCAAACACGATCCTACGCTCAGCTGGTCATCTCCAGCCAGGGAAGCTCTGCTCAGTGCCATCTCTGGACAAGAGCTTGCAACTCCTAGAAGAGCAGCTCTGCTGGATCAACTCCAAGGTTGACACAGGCCAGCACCTCTGCTCTAGTGAGCTGGAGAAAGCCTGGTCCTACCTGTCCCCTGAAAGCCAGTGGGGAGAGCGCAAGCTCCTTTCCTTCCCTCTGACATATGCACCAAAACCGTCACTGCAGGGCTGGATTCCACCATGCCCATCCAACACAGGACGGGGCATCACAGAGACACCCGCTGCCAGCTCCTGCTATCCCGGGACATCGCTCCCACCAGGAAGGACTTTGGGGACAAGGAATAAATGGAGGCCTTTCCTTCCACCTCTTACTGTGATCCTGTTTCCCCACTCATTTATACTACTGCTTCTTCTCTCTGCTTGTTTGTTTAATTTGTCTTAAGCAACAACCACACAAAAAGAGGTGGAAAACTAAAAATACCACTAACCACCTCAAACTCATCCATTCTCAAAGGATGTAAGTGCCCTCCTGGCTAATACCACACTCAGGACCTCAAACTTAAGAGTAAGACATAGGATCACTGTTCCCACCTGATGTCACAGCAAACGGATGCATTTCCCATTGGAAACGGATTTTCTTTAGCTATAAAGCAAAGGACAAATAGGGGCATAAACGCGCCCCCAAAACTTGGGGCTGTAAGTCTGGAAATGAAAAGGAACAGGCGAGAGAAATTCAACAAAGCAGCGGCTGGAGGAAAACTTGCCCTTCTCTGGAAATGGAGCTCACGAGCGCCGAGCAGGCGGGCGGCAGGACTAAGTGCAGCCTCCTTAAGGCCAACAGCCTCCCGCCTGCCTGGAATGGGACATCTGCCCAACAATTAGCGCCTTGCTGGTCCCAGGTAGGGAGCGAACGTGAGAGAGGGAGGTTTGAGGCTCCCCGGGAGAGAAGCCTGCGCGGGCTGACAGCTTGCTGCAAGACAGACGAATGCAGAGGGCAGAGAGGATTTTCAGGCCAAATGTTACTTGCATACTAAGCGTTTTTGGGAACGACCCTCCGGCTTGCAGAGGAAAGGGAGCAGTGAGGGTGGCCCCCGCATGGCGCGCAAGGAGCGTTTGCGCTGCTCTAGGGACGTGCTGCGCTTGGGAGGCAGCAGCACCCCAGCACCGAGGGGCCCACGCAGATCCCCCTCGTGCCGAGAGCGGCATCGCCCTCAATAATCCGCTTTGGATAAAGGAAATCAGGTACCAGGAAAGCGCAAAGAGTCACATTCAAAGAAGCTGCTCTTCCCGGCAGCAGCTCTCCCAGCAGAGCTGGCTCCATCCTCATGGAGCAGCCCGTCATGGGCATCTCCATGCAGGAAAGTTCTGCTCCACAGCTCCAGAGACCCTCTTGGTACCGGGGGCTGCAGAAACAAGAGCATTTGCCATTACATTCCCTATTAGCGGAGACATTTTACTGATTTTACCAGCTGCGCTGCCCAGCTCAGCCAACGCAGGCAGAGGTGGCAGTTCAAAGGGATTCGGTAACAGGAACATATTTCATTAATGCCTTCTGCTGCTGGGAACACACCATTCTTTCATGTCCTGACTCCAAGCGCGCGCTGTGGATACTCTGCCACTCCAATAAATCTATCCGCAGCCTCATCTGAATTCTGAGCAGCGCTTCGGCAAGGAGGCACAAACAGCCCAGTGCATCCTCTGGCCCCCGCCACGCTCCTTTTTTATGGCCAACAGGAAGCAATAACAATAAGCTAATCCTTGTTCTCATCTACGGATCAAGGGAGCAGTGCAGGAATTACGGCAGTCTTGCAAAATTGCCTGAAAATTTACTAGCTCTGGCATGATTTCTGCTCAGCCGCCCTTCGTCGAGACGGCCGCCAACGACCAGAGAAGCACCGAGTGCACCGTTTTGCCTAAATGAATTATTCACCACAGTGCTGACCATTAGGCAGCACCAGTGAACAATGAAACCAGGAAAGAAATTGAGGAGCACATCCCCAAACACCCTTGGGCTGAGCTGGTGACAAGCCCTCCAAGTATTCACAACCTCTTTGGTCCAGGCCACTTGAATAGCACTACTTTAGGGACGTGTTTTAAAGGTACACAGGTAAACCTGGGGGCCGTCCTGAGGAGATGCAGGCAGGACACGATCCTGTTGCAACCTGTGCTGAATGAAGATCCCATGTCCTCCACCTCTGATGGACTCTGGCAGCACAAGGAAGGTCCTCCAGTTGTGTCAAGGGAAGACACAAGGAAGAAGTTGTGTCTTCCCTTGACACAACTGGAAGACAGAATAAAGATCGCTTGGAGACCATAGGACATGATACAGCAGCACTGCTCAGTTCCCCAGTGCATTACAGGGGGGTTTCCACAGCTCCATGCTTCCAAAAGCAGCACCATTCTGCAGGGACGATCATCCTCTCATTTTCCCAGAGCCACGGACACACCAAGACTCCCATAAAGTACAAAAAAAGCCAGCCTGGAAATACTGATGTTCCGATGGAGATGGGCATGGGTGATCTGTTCAGCAGATCTCGGTCCTGAAGACTTGCCTCAAGCCTTCCCTGCCTGGAGAGCAGATGGAGACTATACCTTGGGTTTCTGGCATGGGATTTTCTTGGATCTCCATTAGAAATGGGAGTCATGGGAATGCAACTGGCCCATACTAAATGCTCAGTAATGGCTCTCATAAGAGAGAACCTTGGCCCGGTCTTTCCAAACGTGACTAGGTGGGGATGGTGACTTGCAGCACGTTTTAATGCAGAGGATTCAATCTGAAGACGCCAGCTGAAGGGCAAGATGCTGCAAGAACCACAGCGCTGTCTACCTTGAGAGCCGGCTGTCGGGATTCATAGAAATCCTCCTTCTCTTGTGCGTGCTGAGAACATTACAGAACACTGACTTGAAAGTCTCCTTTCACAGCCCCACAAAACCCTTCCTGACGGGATTTGAAGCTGTGCTTCACATGTTTAATGAGGCTGTTAAAGCAGGGGCTCAGTTTCAGGTGGTCAGACAGAGTGTACCTGCTGGCTTCTTGCAGGAAGCTGGACAGTGATAAACCCATGTCCATGGGCATGCGTCCCCCCAGCCGGGAATCCGTGCGAGCTCCCTCCCTCCATGGACAGAGTTCTGATCAACAACATGTCCAAAAAGAGGTAGCAGTGAATTTTCTTCTTAATTATAGCCAATATTATGACTACAAGGAAGCTGGAAGAGACCTGAATGCACTTGACAGATCAAATAACTGGATCTGAATAAAAATCAATAACAAAAACAGAATAATAAATAATAAAGAACCTATCACTTCATGCAAAGCCAGAGAAGAGCCTTGAATGGCAGAACAGACCATAAAGAGGAACTTCCTCCAGGGTCTTGTGCAGACACTCCAGATGGAGCCCCGATACATTGGTCCTTGATTCTCCCAGGATAGAATAGGGCAGGGAACAGACTCGCTGGGGATGGACGTGTTGCTATCTCCAGCAAAAGTCACAAATAATCCCAGCAAGGAGCCAGGAGGCGGCCTGCCGAAGCAGCTGTGCTCACCAAGAGATCTCGCGTACCCATGGGGAAGAGAAGACAGCAAACACCAGCACGGGATCGCTGGGCAGCGGGTGCAGCACGGCGGCTCTGCCAGCTCGTCCCCCTTCCTCGCACGGGCACGGCAGCGCTTTGGCTTGCAGAGCCCCGGGCTGGAAGCCAAGGTGTTGATAAGCAGAAGGTGGGGGAGGCCAAGGGAAAGTGCTGGAGATTCGAGCCTGCAGAGCCTACAGCTCATCCGCTCGCGTTGCACCGTGCAACTTCTGTAACTGCCAGCGACAAATAATAACAATAAATATTAATGACCCCCACAGCCTACCTGCTTAGCCTTCAGCTATCGTCAGTGTTTGGCCCGTCTGAGAGCACCTCACCTGAGACACTGCCTGGGCTCTTTGTCCCACACGGGCTGCTGAGGGTGCCTGGTGAAGAGCGTGGCAAAGCTGCTCGACTGCCCCCAGAGCCTCTCACCAGCTCGTTTTTCCTCCGAGACATCAGGCTGGTATCAGCT